TATTACTGAAATAGTTTGAAATTTTTGTATCGTGACAAGAGTAAATCCTGTGCGTCCCCTTCTATCAGTTTACCGAACCTCAAATGAGTTCAAATCCTGATCATTTTCATTTGTCTGCACAATCAAATCCTGCTTTCTTTCGCATGATGATTACAGCGTGTTTTGCCAAATGCACTAATGTAATTTTAGCCTAATCTCCCAAACAGACAGGTATTAGCCTCGCGTAGCCACATAAGAACATGACAAAGGAATCTGTTCAAATTAAAACGAGCATTGTGCAGTTAAGCCTTTAGTTTAATCCCATGCGTAAGATTTAAAGGTGCTGTCCCTGATTTTTACCGTCTGAAAAACATGAAAAACAGAACCAGTACATTTGAAACGGTTTGCAGTGGCCCAGAGTTTATCCCCCAAATACCTTTATATATTCTGAGCATCCTAATTATTCACGGTGATGAGTTTTTAAGTGCTTTTCGCAAATCTCAGACTTTCCAGAGTTGAAGTTTGCTTTCGTGGTAATATTAACAACAACTAGCATGCTAACAGTGCAGTTCTTGATTCTCTGACACTCTTGTACGTGTTCCTCAAATACAGGGTGTCCCAAAAAATTTGACATAATTTCGCAGGCCAGTAATTTAGGCAATTCTTGTTGAAATAACCTAAAATTTTGGCTTTGACTGTATAGAAATAGATTACGAGTTTATGTTTAATGTTTTATTTTTGTTCTGTTTTCAGAGTGAGCCATGCTGTTCACTCCCAAAGAGAGTTCATTTTGCGTCTCGGAATGTACTCGCACACACATATGTAATCCTTTAGCCTTGCATAAATAGACTATCCTCTTTAAACTTTTGGTACCAAGTCAAAAAATTGTTTGCCTGTTGGTGAAGTTTTTCCAAATTTTGCAATGAAGCACTCTGCAGATTCCAAGATGTAAAATTTGATCTGTTTCTATACATTCTCTGAAAATTTGAGGTTATTTCAACAAGAACTGCCAAAATTAATGGCCTCCGAATTATGTCAAGTTTTTTGGGACACCCTGTACATGGGAAAAATTTGGTGCTGGCCTTTTAAAGAGGGCGTATTTTAGTCGTATGGGTATTAATTTCTGATATAAAACGTATTTAGATCACCATGTTACCATGTTGTTATTTGCCGAAAACAATGTATTAAAATTAAGTTTCTCTTGTTTTTGAGTCTCATATCCCTTTTCTGTCCACGCTGAGTCACTCCTCCTTCAGAGCGCTATCACATTACAGTATACTTACACTGCGATGCTGGAATTTTGCGCCGCATACAGACTGAACCAGGACTGAACCAGGACTGAACCAGGACTAAACCAGGACTAAAACAGCACTAAAACCGTACTAAGTGTAGGGACGGGCCCGGAGGTGCGCCCGCGTAGACTGTCTGGGTGATCAGGACTGAGATCAGGACCAGACTAGAACTAGCCCAGGACTGAAACTGGGACCGGACCAGACTGGGACCAGACCGGGACTGACATTCGGGGCCAGACCAGGACTGAGACCAGAACCAGACTGGGACTGAGACCAGGACTGATACCGGGACCTGGTTTATTCCTTGTTCAGTCCTGGTTTAGACCTGATTTAGTCCTCTTTTCACCCTGTTTTAGTCCTGGTTCAGTCCATATGCAGTGCAAAAGTCCAGCATCGCAGTTTAAGTCACTGAAACGGGAAACGACCGTTATCCATTTTTTTCCCTTTTTCATTTAAACACAAAATTGAAAACTGAATTGAAAACAAAATCATTATCCGTTTTTCTATTTTGGTTTTGGAGACAAATAATGAAGAAAATTGTTGTTTTTTTCACTTTCTTATTTTTGGTTTTATTTTGAAAAACGAATGAAAGAATGATATACGGATTGTTTTGTATCACGTTTTGTATATTCGTAAAGAACTGTCGTGTGGGTGACTTGTACGAAATCTTACAGCCAACCAGAAGCAGGGTTCAAATAGGCCTGGGAAAGATCTCTAAATGACTCAAACATGCATGGATGACATAAAAAAACACTTGAGGCATGTTTTCCACGAGGGTAGAAAGCTCCAAAAGATATCGCCCGCCCGTCTTTAACGCCATTTGATCGGGACCAGACTGTATCCCGCGAGCTCCAACTGGGTCAATAAAAGCAGGTTGACTTTTTCAGTTCAGTGCGATTCTGCCGCGTCTGGATCCTATGGCTAATTTTAAATCGTCACAAGCGCTGATATATTTAGGTTACGGTGTCACGCCTTACCCGTATTCTCATCGAGTTCTACGGAGGCGCCCGGGTTAACGTCTGCAGCTCTAATATTATCTTAAAATGTCTATAGCCCGCGGCATTTCTACGCTCTTATTGCATTTATCCGTGAGTCATGCCACCGCTAGCCTCCGTCTGATCGGATTTGGACACGTTTGGTATATTTTTATGATTGTATTTTATTTCGTTGAGTTCAATCTGAAAATAACGAAATGACGGAAACTACAGAAACAACCAGTGCAGTGTTGTTGTGTCCTCGGGCAAGACATTTTGAAACGTTATAGGGCCGATATTGATCAAAAACAGACCCAGACCAAGAGTTGTGTTTTGTTTCACTCGCATGTTGTGTGTCATTTTCTCAGTCTGAAAATACTCAGTTCCACCTTGTGATGTCAAGTGGTAATACAGGAAGTGCTCCACTGTGTTTTTTAACTCCATACACCTTCACAAGAATCATTTGAATCCGTGTATCATTTGTTCATTCGTTTTTCAATATAAAACCAAAAATAAGAAAATGAAAAAAACAACAATTTTCTTCATTATTTGTCTCCAAAACCAAAATGAAAAAACAGATAATAATTCGTATTTTCAGTTTTCGATTTTGTGTTTAAATGAATCATGAAAAAAATGGATGACAGCCTTTTCCCGTTTACGTTACAATGCCGGACTTTGGCGCCACATACGGACTGAACCAGGACTGGACCAGGACTAAACCAGGTTTGGGACCAGACCGGAACCAGACTGGGACTGAGACCAGGACTTAGACCAGGACTGAGTGCGGGACCAGAGCAGGACTGAGACCGGGACTGAGACGGGGACCAGACCGGGACTGAGACCGGGATGAGACTGGGACTGAGACGGGGACCAAACCGGGACTGAGATGGGGACCAGACCGGGACTGAGACTGGGAACAGGACCGGGACTGAGACTGGGATGAGACTGGGACTGAGACCAGGACCGGACCGGGACTGAGACGGGGACCAGACCGGGACTGAGACCGGGATGAGACTGGGACTGAGACCGGGACCAGACCGGGACTGAGTGCGGGACCAGACCAGGACTGAGACGGGGACCAGACCAGGACTGAGTGCGGGACCAGACCAGGACTGAGACTGTGACCAGACCAGGACTGAGACCGGGATGAGACTGGGACTGAGACCAGGACCAGACCAGGACTGAGACTGTGACCAGACAAGGACTGAGACTGGGATGAGACTGGGACTGAGACTGGGACCAGACCAGACCAGGACTGAGACTGTGACCAGACCAGGACTGAGACCGGGATGAGACTGGGACTGAGACCAGGACCAGACCAGGACTGAGACGGGGACCAGACCAGGACTGAGACGGGGACCAGACCCGGACTGAGACGGGGACCAGACCAGGACTGAGACCGGGATGAGACTGGGACTGAGACCAGGACCAGACCGGGACTGAGACTGGGGACTGAGACCAGGGCTGAGACCGGGACCAGACCAGCACAGAAAACGGTTTAGTCTTGGTTTAGTGCTGGTTCAGTCTGTATGTGGCACAAAAGTCCGACATCGCAATTTAAGTCACGTAAACTGGAAACGGTTATTATCCGTTTTTTACATTATTCATTTAAACACGAAATCGAAAACTGAAAAAAACTAATCGTTATCAGTTTTCTTCATTTTGGTTTTAAAGACAAATAATGAAGAAAGTAGTTGTTTTTTTTTGTTTGTTTGTTTTCTTATTTTTGGTTTTATATTGAAAAACAAATGATCGAACGATACACGGATTCATTTGGATAATTTGCGACCCTGGAACCTACAGCTATTGTTTAAACCTTTTTGAAACATCTTTGCCTCAGACTTTCTGTACCGACTTCAACTGAACGTAAAACAAAAACAACTTTCAAACTACCACTTCATGACATCACAAGTTGGAACAGAGCATTTTGGAGATGTAGACAGACTAATAATGCAGTGAAACATGTGTGAATGAAACAAAACACAACTCCAGGTTTGTTTTTGATGAGGAAACAACATTCCAACATGACTTAAAGCACCGTTGCTCTGGCTTCCAGTTCGTTTTAGAGTTGATTTTCAGATTTTATTGTTTGTTTTTAAAGCTTCCCACGTTACATCTCAGATCTCATCCACATTTACTCCACCTCGCTCTCTTTAATTTTCTGTCTCTTAACACCACGCAAGTTGTGTGGTCCTCTGTCTTTTATTTTATTTATGTTTTTTACCTTTTTATTATTTATTGATATTCTTGCTCTTATTTGATTTAGTAGAGCTTTATTTTATATTTCTTTTGGATATGTTTTATTTGTATTGTGCAGCACTTTGGAAACTGTTTTGTTTATGAAATGTGCTGTAGAAATAAAGTGGATTGGATTGGATAAAGCTCACAGGAGTCCATTTTACATAATGTAGGACCTTTTAAAAACAGTGCCTCGTGTAACTTTTCTGGTGGAGGGCCTGTCAAATACTTTTCTCCATGGAGATTGATGGAGAGAGTTAGTGTTTTGTCTGGAGTGTTTCACAGTATGGTATTAAACCTTTCTATCTTCATGGAGACCAAACCAGACCAAGTTACAGGTCAGAAGGCCTGTCTTTCTAGGTATTTTTGAGCTATAATACCACTTGTAATTGAATAAATCTAAAGTAGAGCTGTTTAATGTGATACTGTGGAACATTCCAGGCAGAGCGATGGCATATAAAACTTTTCTCGAAATAGTTTATCCGATTTCTAACTGTTCCTTTGTTTCTGTGTGAAGGAAACTGGCGAAGAAGCGTAAGGAGACCCTGAACAGCACGAGGCAGGAGATGACGGTGATGGTGAACTCCATGGACAAGAGCTACACGGAGCAGGGCACCAGCTGTGACGAGGCCCTCTCCTTCATGGACACGCACGCCTCCCACAGCCTCAACACCAGCCACAGTGTGAACGCGCGCAGCGAGGGGGCGCTCACGCTCAACACGCGCAGCGAGTGTGCACTCACGCTCAACGGAAGAGGTAAGACGACTCACGGAGATCACTGAGAGGGCGAAAGGGCAGATACGGGCAGTGGGGCGGGTCTTAAAGGTGTAACATTTCTAGTGGAGGGTCCGCCACCTGGTTGTGTCCATGCAGATCTTATTGCTTTTTCCAGAATGTTCCACAGTATAGATTAAACCTACACTCTACGCTACATTACAATTCAGATCTGTGGAGTGTCGCCTCTATTCACAGAAGCAATAATTGTATTTTTGAGCAATAAAAACACCCATAATTAATAGATTCTAGATGGATATGTTTAATGTCATACCATGGAACATTCCAGGGAAAGCAATAACATCTCCATGGAGACAAGCAGGTAGTGGACCCTTCACTAGAAACGTTGTGCAGCTTTAAAGGAAGGGCTGAGCGGTATGGGAAAAACATTAGTCACAATGTTTTTCCTCATATTGATCAATCTTAATTTTATTTATTTATTTTTTTATTAGATTTTATTTTGTCTTTTCAAAAACAGTCAGCTCAAAATCATCTAAAATGTCTCTTAGTGTGGACTTAGAACAAACTTTTAATCACTGCCATTTAACAGAAAAACAAATCAAATTTCTTCCTCCAAAGTCTTGTGTCTGCTCCAAACCTCACAGAGAATTGTCTGTGAACTTGTAGACGGTCCATCACCTGCTTGACCCCATGAAGTCCATGTTTTTTTCTTTACCTAAAATGTTCCACTGTAAGGCATTAATGTTGTCTATCTTCTTGGGGATGAGCTGACAACGGCAGATCTGTGGAATGCATGTAAGATGCAAATTGCAAGGCCATTTTAGTCAATAAATCCATGTTTAATGGAATAAATATATGACATTGTATGTTTAAAGCATAGAAATGTTTAAATGGACATAGATAACAGACTGTTAACATCACAAATGAACAGTTCTTCAGATAACTATAGCATAAACAAACAGAACAAGTTTACCAAACTCTCCATCTCACTCCAAATCACTAAATCCATTGAATTCTTCATCATCGGTGTCACTTCTGAACAACTCTGCGACATCCGGAGGTAAACAGAGCACCACTTCCTCTTCTGTGTAGCTGTCATTAGACTCAGCATCAGTTCCAGCTAGAATTATTCTGGCCTTTTTGAATCCCGACAGGATGGTTTCGGTGTCACTGAAGTCCAGACTTTGTCGATCCATCCACTGACTACCAAGAAAGTTGCATGACCCGGTTACCGTGAAGTTGTGTTCTCCATCCCCGACAGTGCCTCACAAGTTTCTCGCTCACTCCAAAGTTTCTTTGTGCTGCTTAATTAACATTTTTGGCTGAATATTTCAATACTTGGAGCAGGACAGAGGCTCCTTCTGCAGGAGACACCCTCTCGTGGCTGTCAGTGTAAAAAATTTAATATATAAGTCGCAGGACCGCCCAAACCATGAAAAAAAGTGCGACTTGTAGTCCGAAAAATACGGTAAATGTAAGAGCCATGGTGAGCCTTAGACGAAACAGACCTTAGAAACAGTTATTCATTTATCAGTGCACCAAGTTAGGCATCAAAATTACACATTTAAAGTGGTAATTAATCAAATTTTACTTATTATCCACAACACACAGAATTCAGGAATCCCTTGGCGAGCTACTTGGAAGGGGGTGGAGAGCTACTGGTCTATGGTTTAAAGCTACCGTCTGTAGTTTTAATGCCATTTAATTTCATTTTACGTCACTCAAATAACTTTGCAATTAACTCTCTTTGTAACTTTACTCCACTTACAACTTTACATTGTTCATTCAACTTTTCACAGCCAGTACATTCAGATTAGATAAACCTTTTTTTTTTTTTTTTTTTTTTATAGATTTTATGTGATCTTCAAAGGTTGCAACTTCAAAAGCTGATTTTTTTGCACATTTCATTTTGAACTCCTCTAATGACTTGATGTGATCTAAACAGACCTGACCCGCCTGCGCGCCCCGTCTCAGCATGGGCCTGTAAAGGAGGAACAGAGTAAATAATAAATACTGTTTAATCACCTCACATTTTTCTGTCTCTACATCAGTCCTCAAATCTGGAGAGTAAACATCGGACTTCCACTAAAGTCCCGAAAATCTCAGTGCATTGATACTTTGCAGTGACAGTACTACGTGCATCTCTATCGGCGGAAAGTTCAGTAGTTACCATGGTGATACAATGCACACTTGAGCAAAAACTGTCAAAAAAGATTGGCTCAAGAAACTCAAGATGAAAGCACTACTCTTTTGGAAGCTTTTTTTAGTCATATTATACTTTAATCTGTGTTTTATTTGAACACAATCGGACCAAAAACAGCCGACTTGATTGGAGCTAGAACAGGTGAGCTGATCTGTGTTCATAAACAAGTTTCTCCAAGTCTAAGTCTTCTCTAAGTCTCTAAATTAGGGCTAAACCATGTAGTGCTAAATCAGGACTATAAGATTGGACTAAATTAGGACTAAACCAGGACAGAACCAGGACGAAACCAGGACAAAACCAGGACGAAACCAGGACGAAACCAGGAGTAAAATAGGACAAAACCAGGACGAAACCAGGACTGAACCAGGAGGAAACCAGGACGAAACCAGGACTGAACCAGGAGGAAACCAGGAGTAAAATAGGACAAAACCAGGAGTGAACCAGGAGTAAACCAGGACGAAACCAGGATGGGACCAGGAGTAAACCGGGACGAAACAGGACGAAAACCAGGAGAAACCAGGAGGAAACCAGGAGGAAACAGGAGGAAACAGGAGGAAAATAGGACAAAACCAGGACAAAACCAGGAGAAACCAGGACGAAACCAGGAGTAAAATAGGACAAAACCAGAGTGAACCAGGAGTGAAACCAGGAGTAAACCAGGACGAAACCAGGACGAAACCAGGACAAAACCAGGAGTAAACCAGGACGAAACCAGGAGTAAAATAGGACAAAACCAGGAGTGAACCAGGACGAAACCAGGACGAAACCAGGACGAAACCAGGACAAAACCAGGAGTAAACCAGGACGAAACCAGGAGTAAAATAGGACAAAACCAGGAGTGAACCAGGACAAAACCAGGACGAAACCAGGACGAAACCAGGACAAAACCAGGAGAAACCAGGACGAAACCAGGAGGACAAAACCAGGAGTAAACCAGGAGTAAACCAGGACGAAACCAGAGAAACCAGAAACCAGTGAACCAGGAGAAACCAGGACAAACCAAACCAGGAGTAAACCAGGAGTAAACCAGGACGAAACCAGGAAAACCAGGAAACCAGAAACCAGGAGTAACCAGAGTAAACCAGGACAAAACCAGGAGTGAACCAGGACAAAACCAGGTAAACCAGGACGAAACCAGGAGGAAACCAGGAGTAAAATAGGACAAAACCAGGAGTGAACCAGGAGTAAACCAGGACGAAACCAGGACGAAAACCAGGAAAACCAGGAGGAACCAGGAGTAAACCAGGACAAAACCAGGAGTGAAACCAGGAGTAAACTAGGACGAAACCAGGACGAAACCAGGAGTAAAATAGGACAAAACCAGGAGTGAACCAGAGTAAACCAGGACAAAACCAGGACAAAACCAGGAGGAAACCAGGAGTAAACCAGGACAAAACCAGGAGTAAACCAGGACGAAACCAGACTGAACCAGGAAACCAGGAAAAATAGGACAAAACCAGGAGGAAACCAGGAGGAACCAGGAGTGAACCAGGAGTGAAACCAGGACGAAACCAGGACGAAACCAGGGAAACCAGGAGGAAACCAGGAGTAAAATAGGACAAAAACCAGGACGAAACCAGGAGAAAATAGGAAAAACCAGGAGGAACCAGGAGGAAACCAGGAGTAAAACCAGGACAAAACCAGGGAGAAACCAGGAGTGAAACCAGGACGAAACCAGGACAAAACCAGGACGAAACCAGGAGGAAACCAGGACGAAACCAGGACGAAACCAGGACTGGGACTATAAGCGTGGGCTAAATCAGGTCTACACTAGGTCTAAACCAGGTTTTAATCAGCTTTAAAACACTAAACCAGGACTAAGTGATCTAAAATGGTCACCTATAATAAACTGAAAAGAAACATTATACTCATTTTACCATTTTCACTCAAAAAAACACAACTTCCAGGTCTGTTTTTGATTACAACATAGATCAGAAAATGTCATTATATGGGTCCTTTAAAGTTCACGAGAGTCAGTTTTGTGTAATATTGTACCTGTAACACAATCACATGCCTCATTCTAACGCCCATCCTTACCTAATCCGTAGCGCGACGTTTAAATCCTCACAGTGACACTATCGACTGCCATATAAGGTCGGCATCCTGTGAGAGCTTATCCGGACTCACTTTAACAGACCGGGGCGAGGAGTAATGCATTTAGATCACGTGTTGACAGACTGCGAAGGATTTGAACCGCCACACTGACAGACAGTTACCCAAGGTCAAGTCATCTCCCGGCCCCCCTCCAGCCCGGCGCGGATCGGCAAACCGCAGCGCCGCCGTGGTAATCTGATGGTTTTGACCGGGATTATACCAGGTCAAACCACATGGGGCAGACGCAGGGGAGCTGCCCGTCACCCACAGATTAAGATTAAGAAAATTGATTAGTTATCACAGCAATGGTTTGTTGTATTCGTGGGTTTAGACGTCTGTTGTATGCAATATGTCGAGGATTTTTTAACGTTCAAAAGGTTTAATATTTAGTTTTAAAGGGCCCGTATGACGCTATTTTCTGATCTGTTATGATGTTTTTTCCTCATCACAAACAGACCCGGAGTTGTGTTTTGTTTCATTCACATGTTTAACTTATAAACTCACAATTTTTTCTGAAACTAAAAACGTTCTGTTCCAATAAAGGAAGGGCTTCGCTGTGTTTTTAAACGTCTATAAACCTTCACTAGAATCATTTGGATAGTTTCAGCCCTAGAATTGCCCGTCTCTACTGAACTAAAGGTGAAAGGTTAACGTCAAAACTACCACTTCATGACATCACAAGGTGGAACCAAGCATTTTTGAGCTCTGGAGATGTAGACTGATAATAAAGGATTACTCCAACATGTGTGAATGAAACAAAACACAACTCCAGGTCTGTTTTTGGTGAGGTAACAACATTATAACATCCATAGTTCCCACGGTCATGGAAATCCTGGAAAAGTCATGGAATTTTAGTGTCTCTTTCACTCAACTATATCATTCTCATTAGGCTATAATGATTATTTCCAAACATATAAACATATTGTACGACAATAAATGCACTGACAGTATTTTGAATGTTAAAAACTATAATCCCAAACCATAAGGTGAGTGGTTAACATTTTATATTTAGCCCTAAAAGTCTGATCAATTCCACACGTGTAGATGCCGTAAAATCATGGAAAATTCACTTGAGGTCATGAAAAAATCATGGAAAAGTTTTGAAATGTTGTCACTGAAAAAGAGGAGGAACCCTGAACATGGCATAAAACTCTCAAGAGTCAATTCTCTGTAATATAGGACCTTTAAATATTTAATCGCTATGAAAACTGTCCTAATTTTTGTGGATAGGATGGAGTTGGTAAATAACAACTAAGGAAGTGTGATGTCGCCCACAGCGTTCGGCTCCAGTCAAATGGAGCAGTTATGGGGGTGAACGTGGAGCCGAGTTCCATATTAGGAATAGGAATTTATTAACGGACAAAATAACGAAATAAAAACACCAGGATCACGTAGGCGGGTTAATACGAGCATTTTAAGACCAAAATGATGAGCCTGACATCGGTCTGTACCAGGACTAGACCAGGGCCGGACCGTCACTAGACCAGGAACTACCAGCAATTGTACTTGGACTAGACTGGGATTGGACCAAGACTAGACTGGGACTAGACCAAAACTGGACTAGGACTGGACTAGAATTGACTTGGACTTGGACTAGGAGTAGGACTAGACCACAACTAGACTACAACTAGAACAGGACTAGAACAAGGCTAGACTAGGACTAGGACTAGGACTAGGACTAGACCACAACTAGACCAGGACTAGATTTGGGACTAGGACTAGACGACTAGACCCCAGGACTAGACCAGGACTAGACGAGGACTAGAGCAGGACTAGAAGAGGACTAGACTAGGACTAGAAGAGGACTAGACCAGGACTAGAGCAGGACTAGAAAAGGACTAGACAGGACTAGGACTAGAAGAGGACTAGACCAGGACTAGAGACTAGGACTAGACAGACTAGACCACGACTAGACAGGACTAGAAGAGGACTAGACCAGGACTAGAAGAGGACTAGACTAGGACTAGAAGAGGACTAGAGCAGGACTAGAAGAGGACTAGACTAGGACTAGAAGAGGACTAGACCAGGACTAGAAGAGGAGTAGAGCACTAGGACTAGAACAGGACTAGAGCAGGACTAGAAGAGGACTAGACCAGGACTAGAGCAGGACTAGAAGAGGACTAGAGCAGGACTAGAAGAGGACTAGACTAGACTAGGACTAGAAGCAGGGACTAGAGGACTAGAAGAAGACTAGACTAGAAGAGAGGACTAGACTAGACTAGAAGAGACTAGGACTAGGACTAGAAAGGAAGACTAGGACTAGAGCAGGACTAGAAGAGGACTAGAGGACTAGAGCAGGACTAGAGAAGGACTAGGACAGGACTAGAGCAGGACAGGACTAGAGAGGACTAGACAGGACTAGGACTAGAAGAGGACTAGAGACAGGACTAGAGAGACAGGACTAGACTAGAGGACTAGAGCAGGACAGGACTAGAGCAGGACTAGAAAAGGACTAGAGACAGGACTAGAAGAGGACTAGAGCAGGACTAGAAGAGACTAGGACTAGAGGACTAGAGGACTAGAAGAGAGAGACTAGGACTAGGACTAGGACTAGAGGACTAGAGCAGGACTAGAGCAGGACTAGAGGACTAGAGAGGACTAGAGACAGGACTAGACTAGAGGACTAGAAGAGGACTAGAGGACTAGGAAGAGGACTAGAAGAGGACTAGAGACTAGGACTAGAGAGAGGACTAGGAGCAGGACTAGGACTAGAGAGGACTAGAGACAGGACTAGGACTAGAGGACTAGAGAGACAGGACTAGAGCAGGACTAGAGAGCAGGACTAGAAGAGGACTAGAGAGGACTAGAGAGGACTGAGCAGACTAGAAGCAGGACTAGAAGAGGACTAGAGCAGGACTAGAAGAGGACTAGAGCAGGACTAGAAGAGGACTAGAGCAGGACTAGAAGAGGACTAGAGCAGGACTAGAAGAGGACTAGAAGGACTAGAGCAGGACTAGAAGAGGACTAGAGCAGGACTAGAAGAGGACTAGAGCAGGACTAGAAGAGGACTAGAAGAGGACTAGAAGAGGACAAGAGCAGGACTAGAAGAGGACTAGAGCAGGACTAGAAGAGGACTAGAGCAGGACTAGAAGAGGACTAGAGCAGGACTAGAAGAGGACTAGAGAAGGACTAGAAGAGGACTAGAGCAGGACTAGAAGAGGACTAGAGCAGGACTAGAACAGGACTAGACTAGATGAGGACTCGATCAGGACTCCATGAACTAGACCAGGAACTATGCTACAAACTACCAGCAACCATACCAGGACTAGACTGGACTGAGATGGACCAAAACTAGACCAAGACTGAACTAGGACTAGACTAGAACTAAACTAGAACTAGACAAGCACCAGACTAGCATTCGACTAGAACTAGACCAGGACCAGACTGTGCTGGACCAGAGCTAAACCAGAATCAATGGAGCCTGAATATGTCCATTTACTGTTTTTATGGTTTTCATGGCGACAAATGGGTCAAAATTAAAATGTGCAATTCATGTTTTTCATTGTATTTTTGATCTATAAACCAGTTTTTTCTGTTTTGTTTTCCTTTTATCGTCAATTGCCTGTTGTGTATCGGCTATTGCTTGGAAACTGAGATGTCAAGATAGAGTTTTCTCATTGGTTTGTGCTCCAGTGAACACAGCAGATCACTGATACTCTTTATTGATCTGTGTCCATCCGCAGCGGCCGGCTCGTCTCCCTCCTCCTTCACCCTGCCCAAAGCCAATACCTTGAGCTCCTCCATGCCCTCGGGCTCCTACTACCCAGGTAAGCCCCGCGTCTGTTTTTATGTCTCTGTGAAGACACGTGTCCACCAACAAAGAGGTACAAGCGTCCAAAGACAGAAGTTACACCGCCCAAAGTGTTATTGATTTCCGTAGTTGAGTAAAAGAATTATCATAGTGTAATGTAAATGTGTAAACTAGGACTAAATCAAGACTAAACCAGGACTAAACTACGACTAAAACAGGACCGGGACTACGAGCTTGGACTAAATTAGGTTCAAACAAGTCTAAACCAGGTCTAAACTGGGGTGAAACCAGGGCTGAACTAGGACTAAATTAGGGCTAAACCATGTAGCGCCAAAGCAGGACTGTGACAATAAGCTTGGACTAAATCAGGTCTCTATCAGGTCTCAATCAGGACTAAAGCAGGACTAAACCAGGACTAAAGCAGGACTAAACCAGGACTGGAACTATAAACATGGACTAAATCAGATCTACACCAGGTCTAAACCAGGTCTAACCTACAGTATGTCTTAACCAGGCCTAAGCCAGGTCTAAATCAGCTCTAAACCAGATCTAAACCAGGTCTAAATCTGCTTTAAACCAGATCTAAACCAGGTCTAAATCAGCTCTAAACCAGATCTAAGCCAGATCTAACCTACAGTATATCTAAGCTAGGTCTTAGCCAGGTCTAAATCAGCAATAAACCAGGTCTAAACCAGGTCTAAACCGGATCTAAAACAGGTTTAACCGAGGTCTAAACCAGGTCTAAACCAGGTCTAAACCAGATCTAAACCAGGTCTAAACCAGGTCTAAACCAGGTCTAAAACAGGGCTAGAAACAAGGCTAAAACAGGTCTAACCTACAGTATGTTTAAACCAGGTCTAAACCAGGTCTAAATTAGGTCTAAAACTAGGTCTAAAACATGTCTAAAACAGGTCCAACCCAGGGCTAAACCAGGTCTATCCTACAGTATGTCTTAACCAGGTCTAAACTAGGTCTAAACCAGGTTTAAATCAGCTCTAAACCAGATCTAAACCAGGTCTAAATCAGCTCTAAACCAGATCTAAACCAGGTCTACCCTACAGTATATCTAAACCAGATCTAACCCAGATCTAACCCAGGTCTAAACCAGGTCTAAATCAGCTCTAAAACTAGATCTAAGCCAGATTTAACCTACAGTATATCTAAACCAGGTCTAAAAGCCAGGTCTAAACCAGATCTAAACCAGATCTAAACCAGATCTAAACCAGGCTAAACCAGAGCTAAACCAGGTCTAAATCAGCTCTAAACCAGATCTAAGCCAGATTTAACCTACAGTATATCTAAACCAGGTCTAAGCCAGGTCTAAACCAGATCTAAACCAGATCTAAACCAGGTCTAAAACAGGTCTAAACCAGGCTAAAACAGGTCTAAAACAGGTCTATCCTACAGTATGTCTTAACCAGGTCTAAACTAGGTCTAAACCAGGTTTAAATCAGCTCTAAACCAGATCTAAACCAGGTCTAAGCCAGGTCTAAACCAGATCTAAACCAGATCTAAACCAGATCTAAACCAGGTCTAAACCAGGGCTAAAACAAGGTTAAAACAGGTCTAAACCAGATCTAAACCAGGTCTAAACCAGGTCTATCCTAGAGTATGTCTTAACCAGGTCTAAACTAGGTCTAAACCAGGTCTAAATCAGATCTAAACCAGATCTAAACCAGATCTAAACCAGATCTAAACCAGATCCAAACTGATGCTAAACCTATAAACTAGGCCTTAACCAGTATTTAACCAGGACTAAATAACAACTCAATTAAAACTAAACTAACACTAAACAAGGACTAAGTGCTCTAAAATTCTTATCTTTAATAAACTGAAAAACAAAACAAAACACACACTTAGTCTCAAGATACAGTATGTTTTGAGATTCCCATCACCAGAACTAACATATAATAATAATAATAATAATAATACTCATTTTCTCTCTAAACTGAAATCTCGACTCGTTCTTGTAATAATCATAAGATGGACTCGATGTAAAATGTTTGCACTTTAACAGTTGGAAAGTAATGGAGAGGTTCATTAGCAGCGGTTTTATGCGCCGTTATACCCACTATATTTTTCTAATGATGAAATCTGAATGTTTTGGTGTGCGGCAAACATTTTCCAAATTATCTGTGTAATTGCATGTCTGGTGTAATCGGATCACAGCTCATTGATTAGACGGAGAAAAGGGGTAACCCGATCGCTAATCTGCCGCGCTAACTGAATGATGCCGTTTTACTGGAACTTTCCCGTTCTGAATTAGAATATTAAAGCCTGGACAGACCTCCTACGCCATCGCCATGGTAATTAACAATTCAAACACAAAATTATATCTTTTGAACGGCCAACGCACTCGAAAACCTGCGTCCAAACAATTAGACAAACTAGGACCAGTACTTAGTGGGTAGAAGTGGAAATAAAACAGGACTATATTATTCCAAAACTGAAAATGTGATTAAACGAGAACTAAAACTGGACTAAACCAGACCAAAAATGGCTGTAATTCAGGTTTTAAGCAGGACTAAACCAGGACTATGCCACCTTTTCTTGTTGTGACTGGTTAAATTGAATGTCATCTAAAGTGGGACTGGACTGAGACTAGACCAGGACTAGACTAGGACTAGATTAGGACTAGATTGGACTAGGACTGAACTAGGACTAGAGTAGGACTAGACCAAGATTGGACTAGGACTAGACTAGGACCAGACTAGGACTAGATTAGGACTAGATTGGACTAGGACTGAACTAGGACTAGAGTAGGACTAGACCAAGATTGGACTGGGACTAGACGAGGACTAGACCAAGATTGGACTGGGACTAGACGAGGACTAGACTAAAATTGGACTAGGACTAGACTAGGACCAGACTAGGACTAGATTAGGACTAGATTGGACTAGGACTGAACTAGGACTAGAGTAGGACTAGACTATGATTGGACTGGGACTAGAGTAGGACTAGACCAAGATTGGACTGGGACTAGACGAGGACTAGACCAAGATTGGACTGGGACTAGACGAGGACTAGACCAAGATTGGACTAGGACTAGACCAAGATTGGACTGGGACTAGACGAGGACTAGACCAAGATTGGACTGGGACTAGATTAGGACTGAACCAAGATTGGACTGGGACTAGAAGAGGACTAGACCAAGATTGGACTAGGACTAGACCAAGATTGACTGGGACTAGACTAGGACTAGACCAGATTGGACTGGACTAGTAGGACTAGACAAGATTTGACCGGACTAGACTAGGACTAGACCAAGATTGGACTGGACTAGACTAGACTAGGACTAGGACTAGACCAAGATTGGACTGGGACTAGACTAGGACTAGACCAAGATTGGACTGGGACTAGACTAGGACTAGACCAAGATTGGACTGGGACTAGACTAGGACTAGACCAAGATTGGACTGGGACTAGACTAGGACTAGACTAGGACTAGACTAGGACTAGACTAGGACTAGACCAAGATTGGACTGGGACTAGACGAGGACTAGACCAAGATTGGACTGGGACTAGACGAGGACTAGACCAAGATTGGACTAGGACAAGACCAAGATTGGACTAGAACTAGACTAGGACTAGACCAGGATTGGACTAGGACTGGAGTAGGATTAGACCTTAATTGGACTAGGACTAGACCAGACTAGGACTAGCACTAGGACTAGGACTAGACCAAGATTGAACTGGGACTAGACTATGACTAGACCAGGACTAGATCAGAATTAGACCAGAACTAGACCAGGACTCTACAGACTAGACCAGGAACTATGCTACAAACTACCAGCAACCACACCAGGACTAGAACTAAACTCGAACTAAACTAGGACTAGACCAGCACTAGACAAGCACTAGACAAGCCTTAGACTAGGACTAGACCAGGACCAGACTATGCTAGACCAGAACTAGACCAAATCTACATCAGAACTAAACCAGAACCACAAAACAGCCTCAGAAAGTGAAAAGTTAACCAGGCTAATATGATATTTTCATGTTGTTTATGTGCTTTTTTTTGACTAACTATATTCGACTAACCGTGTTTCTTTGCTACAACTTTCTCTCTTTTTTGATTTGAGCAGATCCTTTTGTTCCAACTGCTATTTTAGGTGAGCCACACATCCTTCTTCTTCTGCTGTTACTTCTTTCTTTAAACAGTTGTGTAGTACATGCCAATGATATAAGACAAGGACAAAACCTGTGAAGTAAGAATTTCTGTTCCCATCTTTTTTCGTTTCGTTTTGTTCTGTTGGCTCTTTCTACTAAAACTGGCTTCCTCACCTTCATACCTGCCTGCTGCTTCTCTGGCCCTATGTCCTCCTCTTCTTCCTCCTCCTCCTCCTCTGTACCCCCTTTGCCCCGTTGCCCCCCCCCTTTACCTTACCTTACCTTACCTTACCCCGTCCCCCGTCCAATCAGGGGCTGTCCCGGGCTGAGGCTGACTTCACTCATCCCCATGTGCATCGTGCGTTGTGTGACGTCATGTGTTAGAGCCTCTCTCATTGGATGCGGAGGAGAGCTGGGGCCGGGCACTGAGGGGGCAGCCCAAACTCGCCATCACACAAGCCCAAAACCGCAACGGACCCCCATAAAAGTCACAAAATTAAAGCTGCATTGTGTAACTTGTCCGGTGGAGGGTCCATCAAATGCTTTTTCGTCATGGAGGTGTTATTGCTTTGTCTGGAATGTTTCGCAGTAAGGCAAGGCAAGTTTATTTTCTGAAATCTTTCGCAGTATGACAGTTTTAAAAACCACTTGTACATGAATAAATATAAGGTAAATCTCAGGTAAATCATAGGGTCTGTTTACACGAGAACGCTTGCGGGTAAAAACGACAAAATATTTTTATCGGAAGTGCCTTTCGTTTAGACGGTGACGGCGTTTTTGGGGCTTAAAAACGCAAACATCTCAAACCGTCCTCCAGCCCAAGACGCAAAACTCTGGTCAGATCTGCTCACGTCGCGTACGCGTTTACGACACGTACATAAAGTACAGAAACAAACGTGCCGGATCATTTCCATGCGTTCGATCTTCAGCCTTAATAAACTTTCAGGAGGCATCCCAACAAATGTACAGAATATGCAGAGATATTATTAGTGAACAGAGAAGGATCTGCAATCACCTCTGTCAAATTCTGGATGCACCAGCTCATCGCAGGCGAGCCAGACAGCTATGGACGAGACCTGGAGGACCAGTCGATGGTGGGACAACTTTGTGGAAGGAGTAGCTGATGAAAATGTGTGGTGTGAAAACTTCCGTATGTCCAAAAAGGCCCTTGTTGCTTTAAGTACAAGCAAACCCAATCGAATTCCACACACTTTTGCGTCACCGTATGCACGCAGATTTCCTCCCGAAAACACTCGTCTAAACGCGGAATAAAAAGTGAAGACTTTTGCATCTTCTGTTCAGACCGCCATCATATAAATAATAAATTAAATAATAAATATATTTAAAGAAGAGCAATGACATATCCATGTAGCCCAATTTGTACACAAAGTAATTCAAAGTGCATTACACAATAAGAAATACATTAAAACCACAATACAAACAAACCAAAACATAAATAATCATCATAAACCCAAAAAGAGAGAGAAGAGTGCAGAATGAAAACTCTTCAGTATGGCTTTAAACCTTTCTATCTTCATGGAGAGCAAACCAGACCAATTTATGGGCCAGATCTGCGGAGAGGCAATCCTGCTCACAATCAGAATACCTGTTTTTTTCTAGGTGTTTTGAGCTGTAAAACCACCTGTAATTGAATAAATGTGAAGTACAGTGGTTTAATGTCATACTGTGGAACATTCCAGGCAGAGTCAGGACAAGCAGGAGACGGACCCCAACCAAAAAAGTTACACAATGCACCTTTAAGTCAACAGTGTATTCATAAATACTACTAAGTGATTGGAATTATCACTATAGAAAATTATTACTCCTGTTGTTGTTATTTGTAGTTGATGCCATTAACATTCTCTGGGGGTGTGAAGCTAACTGAAGGCACTGCTCTGTCTGAAGCTCTGTTATTCACGTTTAACTAAACTGAGATTTATTTTAACGCAATCTGACCAGAAAAAACTACATCAGGTGAGCTGATTTGTGCTTTTAAACAAGTCTCTCACACATAAAATTACAGTCAAGTTAGTTCGCATTAGCCAACAGTTTCTTAGTTAATCACTCTCATCTTTTTGGTTGGAAATCAACAAAAAAGTAACCCAAAAAAGCAAAATTCCTCTATAGACATGCATGTAGAACCCTTCCAGCCTGATGTCACAGTTAAGTATCAATACAACCGGAGAGTGCAGACCTCCACCAAGGCATTACAGCTAAGGACCCAGATAAAAATCGTATAATTAAGTCAATAATATATCCATAAATGCTACTCATTTATTGGATTTATAGCAATAGAAGTTTGTTATGATTGACTCTGTGACAATCTACAGCACAGACCTCCACCAAAGCATTAAAGTATAAAGATACTGGAATAGTGACTCATTGCAGTTACATTAGAATTATATGTACCATCATCTCCTAACGGTGTTCAAATTCGAGTCATTTTCAATCAGAGTCATTTTTATGCCAGTTTTATTGCCATTGTCAGTGAACAAAATTCACAAACCACAAACGGCTTTATGGTGCAACGTAAAACAAAGTACTTTAATTCAATAAAAAATAAGAGATGGCGTTAAAATAAGATAAATAAAAATAGACGTTGATAAGCAAATACAAAATATACAGTTTAGAACAAAAAAAAATATAAAAATGCATGTGTGTACAGCGCCATACTGGGTCCTCCAAAGAACTAACCTTATTTACTATTAGTATTATTTTTATTAAAGTGCACTGTGTAACTTTTCTGGAACCTGTTTGTGTCCGTGGAGATGTTAATGTTTTGGTTTAGTTTGGTATTAAACTGATCTGTCTTGCATTTATTTAACTAAAGGTGCTCAAAAATCTTTAAAAAACATCCATTCTTACTGTTTGTGGGGTCGCCTCTCCACAGATCTAACTTGTCATTTGGGTTGTCTACATGGAGATTCTTAAGTTTATGGCCATACTGTGGAACATTCTAGGATAGGGTTGGGCAAACTACGGCCCGAGGTCCATATGCGGCCCTTTAATCTTCTTAATCCGACCTGCCAAATTTGAATAATAATAATAATTTTCTTTTTTTTTTAAAGTCTTTTCAGTAACTAGTAAAAACTCTGGGACTTGAAAGACTGATTTTTTTTTTTGTAATGGTTTGGAATGATTTTCAATTATGGGATATTTCAATAACATTGGATATTTTCTACATATTCCAGGTTATTTTTTTCTTTTATGAGGTGGATTACCAAAAAAACTCCATCCATCTGCTCCTGGTCCGGCCCTTCTGTCAAATTTTAGAACCCTTTGCGGCCCATGAGTCAAAAAGTTTGCCCAACCCTGTTCTAGACACATCTCCCCAGAGTCGAACAGGTGATGGACCCTCCACCAGAGAAGTTACATAATGCATGTTTAACATAAGCTTTAGAGAAGTGTCCAAAATATTGCCCTCAAACAAAAGACTTTGAGCATTTCGAAGCTCCAGTTTAAACCTGCTGATCTGTGAATGAAAAACCTGATGATATAACTTTGTATGCCCTGTTCTATAGCTTGCTTAAAGGTGCACTGTGTAACTTTTGTGGTGGAGCGTCTACTCCACGAGCTCTGTTATGTCTCGTTATGACATTAAACATATCTATTTCCATGGTAACAGACAAGTAACACCACCAGGTCAAGTTACAGGTCAGATCTGTGGAGATGTTACACCACTTACCAGAGGTGGGACTTGCAAGTCGTTACTTGGACTCGAGTCAGACTTGAGTCACTATTTTTAGGACTTGAGACTTGACTTGATAAAATAGACTAAGACTTGGGACTCGACTTCGACTTGAAGCTCATTGACTTGGGACTTGACTCGGACCTGAGGCCTGTGACTAAAATATATATTTTTAGAAAACACTTTTCTCTTTACAGTTGATAAATGCGGTGCATAATTTTACAGGAACAAACTGGAACATGTTGCTCCCACTTCTGTTTGTTACTTTGGATGGAGCTGAAGTACTGTGATGTGGTATCCTCAAATGTACTACAGTAATATACAGTACAATACAGTAAAATACAGTAAAGTGGAGGGAACTACAAAGAACATAATCCTTCCATTTCAGTGCAGATTACACAACAAAATAACAGCATTTTTAAATCTTAATTCTATCTGTTCTGATTGTAATGATTTGCACTAAGATCTTGTCAAGACATTTAAAAAGGAAAAATTTGCATTTCTACAACTCTTATTTAAATGCTCATATATAAAAATACCATGATTTATTTAGTATAATTTAGTTTAAAAGTCATATAAATTGACAAAATCTAAGCTGTATTTGGTACTTTGGTTTAAAAGACTTCGAAATGACTTGAAGCTCAAAGCAGATGACTTGGACTTGACTTGGACTTATGGGCCAGTGACTCGAGACTTGACTTGGACTTGCCTGTATTTGACTTGGGAACTTGACTCGGACTTGAGGTCAAAGACTCGAGACTTGTAAAACAATGACTTGGTCCCACCTCTGCCATTTACAGTTTAATATATGCGTGTTTTTGTTGGTCTTATGAGCAATAAAAACACTTCTTAAACTACTTGATTCAATGCAAGATTTAAGTGTGAGATCATACTACGGAAGAGTCAAAACGAAGCAACGTCATCTCCACGGAGACAAGCAAGACAACAAAAGTTACACAGTGCAGCTTTAATTAAATTGTTGTTACGTTATGTCCAAATTCGTCCCATGTTATTGGTGCTGCCCCGACGCCCCGCCCCTCTCTCCTCACTTTACACATTAACCCCCTCCCTCCCCCTTCCAAACACAACAACAGCCTTTTCTAATATTCTTTTTAATGTGGATCCCCGCGCCTTTGGCTATCCGCTAACCGATAACGACCTACTTGCTCGTTTTGTTTTGGTAGCATCGCTGTAGACAATGTTTAAAATACATAAAACAGACTTCTGAACCGCGCTTTGAATTATTTCTGGCCTTTGTAATCCTTTCACGCTAACCTTAAGTCACGTTCTGCCTAAGTGGGACGTACGAACCCGAGAACTGGATATCCAAGTTAACGTCGTGAGCGTTGTCTTGTCTTAGCTGCATTTTTAATGACGTTCAAGCTGTTTTTTTTTCCACTCGAACGCAACTCCAAACCACATATTTCATCACTGCGCGCTACAACGGTGCTATGAAATAATTATTCCGACGTTACATCACAGAACTGGTTGGCGACAGTCACAGCTGAGGTCAAGTCTGATTGGGAATTTTTAGATTTCACTTGGAAATTTTTGTTTTTTTTTTGTCATTTTAATCAAGGCGAAGCGAAATTGGCCAATCCAATTAAAAGAAAAAGCAAAAACAGAGAATTAAAAACCAAATTTCACCATTATTTCTCCCTGGAATCCATAACCTTCTTGTTACGTTTTTAATTTTGTCTTGCACTGTTGAAATCCCCCATCCATCCACTCAGCATCCCCCTCTTTGACTATTAGGCTACTATTATCTCATCTTTAGTTTAGCCAGTTTATCTTTTCAACTAAATCTTGACCAGGTATTCATGCTGTATTGTTCTGCTTATCCCCTCTCCTCCTTTCTCTCTATCTCTTTCTTTTTCTCTGCTCTTTCTCTTTCTCCCGATCTCTCTTTCTTTCTTTCTTTCTTTCTTTCTCCACACACACAACCGCTATTGTGCAAACTAAAAAGTTCCCATTAATGGTAAGTCCTCCCAACTTGGGCGATCGGGTTGGGGGAAGGAGGTGGTTTCTATGTCAAATCAGAAGTTTCCAAAAAAAAAACAACTAAACTTCTGCATCATATTTCATTCACGATACATTCTATTCATTTCTTTGCATGACGTGTTAGCGTCTCCACCACGCCACCCTTTACCGCGCTCCCGCCGCCACGCTAGAGACTGGTAGCCTGGCATGGTCAAAGCTACAGCGCCCCCCATTGCCGCATCCACGCACCCTCCCGCCCCCCTTCCTTCCATCTGTGCTCCTATTGGTTGTTTTGTTTAGTTTTTATTTAATTTTCCGTATCTATATATTTTTCTCGACGCTGCCAGCTTGCCGCTACATGTCCACCCAATGTCCGACCATGCACTTTCTCTCTCTCTCTTCCTCCTCCTCCTCCTCCTCCTCCTCTCATCTCCTGCCATGTTGTTTTGGGTGTTTTCCATTGTCCGCTAAGCATCTGCGCCTGGTGTCTGCCACTGACTGGATTAAAGCGTACAGAGCGTAGAAACGACCGCAGCCGGCCCGCTCCCTCCACACACGGGCGCGCGGTCCAGATGACATATTGGGACGCCAGGAAAAAACAAGAATAATATTGTTGTGTTTTTGTAGCGTGTGGATTTGTACAACGGAGACGTGCCGCTTGTCCCGAAAGCGGGGGTCACGGTTTAGAAAGGGGTATTTATATGTAACCTGAGCTGCTCTTGGTCATGCTGTGGACTAGTGGGAATGTTTAAAGGTGCTATAGTACACGAAAAGTGACTCTTGTGAGCTTTTAGTCATGTTATAATGTTGTTACCTCGTCAAAAACATACTTGAAGTCAGGGTTCCCGCGGTCATGGAAATCCTGGAAAAGTCATCGAAATTGAAAATGGCCTAGAAAGGTCTTGGAACTTTGTAAATTCAATTAAAGTTTTGGAAAAGTCATGGAATTTTAGTATCTCTTCCAAGTTATCATTGGACAATTATGATTATTTCTAAACGTCTGCGCCTTTTGTTTAAAGGAGACGACAATAAATGCACTGGCAGGATTTTGAATGTTAAAAAACTATAATACCAAACCATAAACCGAGTGGAAAGAGTAAACATTTCATATTTAGTCCTAAAAGTCCGATCAATTCTACACATGTAGGTGTCGTAAAGTCATAGAAAATTCACTTTAGGTCATGAAAAAGTCATTTGAAATTTTGTCAGTGAAAAAGAGTGTGAACCCTGTGAAGTTGTTCTGTTTCATTCACACATGTCTGAGTAATTCTTTATTATTAGTCTGTCTAGCTGAAAATGCTCTGTTCCACCTTGTGATGTCATGAAGTTGTAGTTTTCCAGTTTCAACAGCTATACCTTTTACTTTTTCTTTAGTAGATATCAGGAATTCCAGAGCAGAAATTATCCAAATGATTCTAGAGAAGGTGTATGGAGTTTAAAAACACAGTGGAGCACTTCCTGTATTACCACATGACATCACAAGGTGGAACAGGCCCCATCTTACGCTATTTTCTGATCTGTTATAATGTTGTTTCCTGATCAAAAACAGACCTGGAGTTGTGTTTTGTTTCATTCACACACATTTAACACACAAACCCTGTGCATTTATTTACTCTGTTCCACTTTGTGATGTCATGTGGTAATACAGGAAGTGCTCCACTGTGTTTTTAAACTCCACACACCTTCACTAGAATCATTTGGATACTCATTTCCGCTCTGGAATTTCCAAACTCTACTAAACAAAAGGTAAAAGGGTAGATGTTGAAACTGAAAACTACAACTTCATGACATCACAAGGTGGAACAGAACATTTTGAGCTTTGGAGATGTAGACAGACTAGCAATAAAAAATGACTCAAACATGTGTGAATGAAACAAAACACAAGTCCCACTGTGTTTTTGATCAGGGAACATTAAAACATGGCTTAAAGCTCACAAGAGTTTTTTTTTTTTTTTGTAATTTAGGACCTTTAAGCAGCCTTTTCATTTTCTTAACCAAAACCAGACAAATTTAAGACTTCATAACTCAGTTTAAATCCAAAAAATGTAATAAAAATAGATAGAACCAGTGGATATAAGTGCTTGTTAGCGTGTTTTGCAGCCGTACAGTGGGACAGATGGAGAAGACCTCACCACATGACTCATCCTCTTACTCAGTGCTGTTGTGTTGTTGTGTCCATCCATCGCACAAAGATCACACTAGCGTTGGTCAATCTGGAGTGGTGAAATAATGTCCAACAGTAAAGGAGTGAACGGCCATCTGCTAATGGGCTACACAACAGAAGTCACATATAGGCGGAGTTTGATAATACTTATTTTATACACGAACAGTCAAAAGTTTCGGACTCAACATCTCGTTCAGTGTTTTTTTTTTTTTTTCAATGTTTACTGCTTTCTACATTTGCTATACTTACAGAAGACATCAAATATATGGAGATAGATGTGTACGGTAGGAGATGTACTGTATTTTTTGGACTACAAGGCGCATTTGAAATAAAAAAATCAACAGTGCGCCTTATGTATTAATTCTGGTTGTGCTTACTGACCTCAAACTGATTTTATGTGGTACATGGCGCTCAAAAATCACTCCGAAGTTGATGTCTGCGTGGGACAGAATTTTCAGTCCTGTTCCCACCCGCACCTGCAAAGAATTGTAATTTTCATTCCAGCTCCTGCCCACATCTGCAATATTTTGTCCCGCTCCTGCCCACAAATCCCGCAAGATGGGGACATTCGCTTTCTTAAGATCTATCAAACACAGAGAAGCAGGAAGGAATTGTCTAAAATGTGCGCGAGATTAGACCACATCTGCAAGTTTAGGCTGCTTAAAATGTTGCGTTTGTTTTGCTTAATGGGCCTTATAATCCAGTGCGCCTTATAGTCCGAAAAATACGGTATCTACCTTGTTGACGTGTTTCTGTTGTTAGATGCAAAAAGAAATAAGTTTAACAAGTTCAAACGCTGGATCAGGGAGGCCATTGAAATCAGGAAACATGTCAACAAAATAAACAACCAAGTAAATACATCTCCTGTAGTACTGTCTTGAAAAAGAACTCAAGAAGTTAATGTACAAAACAAGGCAAAATACTGGATGAGAGGGTGTGTCCAAACTTTTGACTCATTGTGTATGTTTAAAAAGCACCAGTCAAAAATTTGGACACATCCTCTCATTCAAAGTTCTTACTACTTTTTTACATTTTATATCCACACAGAAGACACCAAATATATGAAGCAAGATGTATGGAATCATTTAGTTCACAAAAAAAGTTAAATAAATATTTTTCAGCAAAACAAAAAGTGGGTAGTTTGAGTGAGTGAGGGTGAGTTATTTAACTTTTTTTTCTTTGCTACATAATTCCATACATCTTACTTGATATATTTGACATCTTCTGTGTGTATATAAAGTAGTAAACATATAGAAAAAGACCATAGAGTGAGAAAAAGTCCAAACTTTTGACTGGTAGTGTATGTTACAAGCATTATGTCACCACTCATTGTTCATTTGCAGAGGTGGGGAGTGAGTTACTTGTACTTACACTTTTTTTTAATAAATCCAAGACTCCTTTTATTTTGGCAATAATATGATGAGCAGGTCAGTGGCGAATCCTCAAACGGAAAAGTTACATAGAGAACCATTTAAACCAAATTTCTGATTTCTTTAAATTTTTACGATATTGAATTTGAAAGTTATGACCAAACCAGACCAGAACAGTCATTGAATACGTGCTGGAATATCATTTTAAAATGTTGAGTTGAAACAGATTTCTACAAAATTTGGACAAGAATATAATGAATACAATTAGATAATGTAAAATAAAATGTGAATCTATAAAGTGGGACTAAGCCTGGGGCAGCACCTGGAGGACAAAATGAGAGCGTGAAGTTTGGTGAGGGTCTAAGGAACACCGTGAATGGTCTAACATGTCTCCACACTTCAAACTCCACCCCTGCAGCCTGGTGTTTGTCATCCGAAACACCAGGCTGTAATCGGGGTAGTTCTGTGTGATGTCACCAACTACATGAAATTGCAGCGGTCATTGGAGCCAGGTCACACTCATTTAGATACATTTTTGACTGCAAATATACAAATTTTGCACTAAAACTGACAAAAACCGAAACTGAAACACCATATACAAAATAAAGTTTAGTTCCTCTTTAATTTTTTTTTGTATTTAAGCGCTCTGTGTTGCATTTTTTTTGTATGAAAAGTGCTCTATAAATAAAGTTTGATTAATTTATTTTGTAATATTTTGAAGAAAGGCAATTCATGTTTATTTGTAGAGCACATTTTGTACACAAAGTATTTCAAAGTGCTTTACAGAACAGGAAGAGATACTTTAAAGTGGAACTAAACGTTAAATCAACTTTTTTTGCTACGAAGTTGTGTATATGGTGTTTTTATAGCATTATATATGGTCTTTAGTCTAGTAAATGTGAAGGTTTCTAGTCAAAAATGTATGAAAACTGGTGTCTCATGGCTCCAATGGCCTCTGCAGTTTCAGGTAGTTGGTGACATGACATATGACTGCCCTGATTAGCTAAGTGTTTCATCCTCACTCTCTTCTTTAGTCCTCCACTGCCCAGTTTCACAGCACTATTTGAAAAGTCATTTTGGGCCGGTGTTTAGCTTGTCCCGCTTTAAATCACAGCACAAAACAAATATAAAACAAATATAAAATTCACTTTGAAACCGAGTAACTCCCACCTCCCTCTGCGCTACACCTGCACCTCTTTCTCTCTCTTTCTGTCTCTCCCTCCTTCTCCCGTGTGTCCATTTTGACCTGGCTTGGCCCTTCTCGTCTCCATGTCCCCCAGATGAGAGCCAGAACATGGGCAGTGACACGAGCAGCCTGGTGCAGCCTCACAGTCACTCTCTGCGGAAGCGCGAGGCGGCAGACGTGCCCTACCAGACCGCCCAGCTCCACCCGGCCATCCGCGTGGCCGACCTGCTCCAGCACATCACCCAGATGAAGTGTTCCGAGGGATACGGCTTCAAGGAGGAGTACGAGGTAAGATACACATACACGATATCTGTTTGTTGGTTGTTTTTAGTGATGATTTTTAAATATTTTATGGCATATATACATAAAAAATTATTATAAAGCTACATGCAGACAGATGAACAATATCCACAGTGAATACAAGACATGTTCGTGAATGTGGTCATGAATTGTTTTGCGTTTGGGGTGTTGTGCAAGTATCTCTAATGGCGATATGTTGAGGAGTCTCCATGGCGACACAATCAACGACTTAGCGAAAAATCTCAACTTAATTTATCCAAATGTGTATATGTCTTTTTTTAAATTCAGATGACAGCTTTGTCTCGTAGCAGTACCTGAAAAACGCCCCCAAAAATTCTTGCGTTTAATTCCCAACTCCCCCATACTTGCGATGATATATGATTTTCTATTTCTATCGTGGCTTTCCGTTTATTAAAAACAGTAAATCTGGAGCAATATGGCACCACATAAGAGTAGAATCCAGACCGAGCCTGAAATAAACAGGTAGAATGGTTAGCAAGGCTCTAACAAGGTTCACCCCTGTTTGCATGTTCTCTCTGTGTCTGGGTTTCTTCTTACCTTACCATACCTGAATGTTTCACAGTGTGGTATTAAACCTTTCTATCTTCATCAAGACCAAACCAGGCCTAGTCACAGGTCAGATCTGTGGAGAGGCGACCCTGCTCATAATCAGAATGCCTGTATTTTCCAGGTATTTTTGAGTTGTAAAACCACCTGTAACCACTGTTGGGCAAGTTACTTTAAAACTGTAATGTGTTATTTATGACTTATTATTGTCATTTCGAAGTAATTCATTACATTACAATATTACTGTATTTAAAATGTAAGACATTACACGACTACTGCAGCACTTTTAAGTTACTCTCACGTATGTTCTGGGGCTGCTCCCTCTCCTCCAAAGCACCCGTCTCTAGTAGTTGATGTGCGAGGCTCTCATTCTCTCAAGTTACTCTCACCAAAATAACTGAAGATGCTGAACTTTTGCTCCATATATGGACTGAACCTGGTCTAAACCAGAACTGACCCAGGTCTAAACAGAGCAGAGTTCTGCGCAGGTTAGCTGATGGTCTAAGCGGGCGCACCTCCGGCATTTCACCGCTGCTGATATCGCAGTGATTTTAGCAAATTTGTATGAAGAAAAACCCACCACTTCAATCCACATTAAAAAAGCATTATAACGGGCATTACCGAGTAAAATATTAAAATTTTTTCCCCTGTAATACCTTACATTACTGCATTACAGCAAAAAGCAAACATTACAGTAATTCGTTACTTTTATAACATGTTACTCCCAACACTGTCTGTAATTGAATAAATGTAAGGTAGAGCTGTTTAATGTCATACTGTGGAACATTCCTCTCAGAGCAATGACATATACTGTATTTTTTGGACTATAAGGTGCACTTAAAATCCCTTAATTTTCTCAAAAATTAACAGTGCACCTTATGTATTAATCCTGGTTGTGCTTAGTAACCCCGAACTGATTTTCACATATTTCCACTGAGTCGTGTACTTTAGTCTGACAGAGGCTGACCACATCAGCAAGCTGGTTTTTCAGCATCTAATTTATGCAAATTAACCACACGGTTTTAAGTTTTGTTTCTGTAAAACGTAAACAAATGTGTGCAAAGCTGCATTAAACACATTATTACTCAATCTATATTTGGACTTAAATTATCCACCCATATTCATTAATCATCACTCATTCGATTAATGCGCCTTATAATCTGGTGCTCCTTATGTATGAAAATAGACGAGAGAATTGCGCCTCATAGTCCGAAAAATACAGTACATAGAAACAAGCAGGTGACGTACCACCAGCCAAAAATTTACATATGGAATCTTTAAAGCAACTTCCGACACTATCCCTTGTGTTGAATTTAGCATCGCTCTCAATCTCCGTGTTACACTTTCAACCTTAAATATGGTTTTCCACATTACACTAGAATCTGACTGCAACTTCCTCTACCCCAGGTAAAAACAACATCATTTCTGTTTAACACTACCGACCTGACACAATACAGCCCACAGGCCACTTACAGCCCCTCTGAGGATAAAAAGTCTAGTTTCCAGTGTGACACAGCCTTATAATACATGGCCCTCCTCTCCTCCTCCTCTCGTCCTCTCCTCGTCTCCTCCACTCTCTTTTGCCGACCGTAGCACAATTGTTATGTTCCTCCAGATGCACTTTTACGATAAATAGTTGATGCGTTCCGTCTTTTGTGTGTTTACAGCTTGTGTTGCTCATCTGTTCCCTGTCGTCTGTGGATGTGTCTTTGTGTGTCTGCGGCGCTCTGTGTGTGTTGGACGCTCTCATGGACTTTACACTGTCGAGTTCAGCTCATGTGATTGTGTTTGAAAGGCGTGGTTGACAAATAAAGTCAAATAAAAAATTGTAATTGAAAAAAATAGTAGGGTAGAGGAAAACCGGAGCACCGAGAGGAAACCTACAGTACACAGGCACAGTGAGAACATGCAAACTCCACACAGAAAGGCCTCCCATCACACCAGAATCAAACCCAGAACCTTTTTGCTGTGTAGGGAGAGCACTAACCGCTTTGTCATCGTACTGTATTTTTTTATAATTAAAAAATAAAGATATGAATTATAATTAAACTTTGGGAACAGAAAAGACAAACTGTGTAATTTAGCATACTTTAACACAGACCTATTATGCAAAATCGAGCTTTTAACAATGATACAGTTGTTTCTCTTTATCATTTTCCCTCTCGAAGTTGTATTCACGAATATTTGAACAAGTTGTAATTATCTTTAAGAAGTCATTTGCCAAATATGTGACATTATATCAGTGTAATCATCCAGGTAGGTTCTGTAGCGGTCCATGATCGTGTACTAGTGTTGTAGTCAAGACCGCACTAAACGGCTACTGGACTTCTGGTTTTGCAGTGATATTGAGCAGCCTCTGTACATTTACCTTGCCAGACTGGCGCCACCTAGTGCCTCCGCTCAATGTCATTTCTCTCCAGCGACTAGGTCAGGAATCAGAATACACTAGACGGTTTGCAAGAACCTCAGAAGTTGTAGACCACGCACCGGCCAATCAGCGAAGAGCTGTGAAGCCATGACGTCACACTCAAGCGTCTGTCTAGGTCCCTTTTGTGGTACAGCGCAACAGTAAACAAAGCGTCGAGATGGATGTAGACGAAGACAGACATTCTGTGTTGGCAACAATTCCCGAGATTGAGGATTTAAAGCGGGAACAAAGAGAATGTTTAGTGAATTTTATCAAGAAAAAGACATTATTGCCCTTCTTTCTATGGGATTTGGCGCATTACATACATCACAACCAAATAGCAGCGATTGGTTACATTTTTTAAAAGTACCCGCCTACTGTCGAGCAAACGAATCCTAATGCTGCGAGGTCAGATGGTTTCCCCGAAGTGAAACCGGCTGATGAATCAGGCTAACATTTACCGTCCATAATGAAATACGATCGCACTCGTCGAATGTCAGACCTTGAGTCCGAGACCAGGCGCTATCACGACCAAAACAAGACCGAGTCCAAATGCGCTCGAGTCCAAGATGAGATCAAGAACGTAAAAAAGCAGCTCAGGATCATTCTAACGCTTCAGGAAAGGTTCTGTGACTGTGACTTTTTAACTAGGCCTATCGATACCTGCCCAAAATGAGTATCTAGTTTCAATACTAGTTTTAGTCTCAATTAGTATCTGATTGTCGATACTTTTACCAACCCTGCTGCCGGCAATAATAAAAAATACAGTGTAAGCTTCCTCTATTATCCCTGTATCTCCACTGTCTCTGGCTCTGTTAGGCGCCACTCTCTGTAACACCAGGAGCCCCCCCGTCACAGCAGCCCTGGCCCAGCAGACTTCCCCCTCCCCTGCCTCATTAGACCGGGACTCTGGCTGCTCTGGCTCTGGTCCAGTCCCCCTCACTGGTCCCTCGGTCCCCACACAGCAGCGCGGCCCCAGCTGGCGGCCATGTTGGAACAGCGCGGCGTCAAATACACACTAATAATGACTGTTGTTAAATATGAATCACAGTGAAAGGTGCGCCTTGTTTTTGGCCAAGTTTGAAATCATAGTCCCCAGGGGAGCACTAGGAAGATATTACAGTACTAAATGAGGAGTCGAGTTACTACCACTATAACTACTACTACTACTTTTACCACGTCTACTATTGTATTCTACTAAAACACAGTGAAAACAACAAAATACTGCACCACAATAACTAAATAAATAGTGTTAAATATTGTTGATAATACTGTTGCTACCTCTACTGCTACTACTATGACTACTACTACTGCTACTACTACTACTACTGCTGCTACTACTGCTACTACTGCTGCTACTGCTGCTACTGCTGCTACTACTAATACTACTCCTAATACTAGTACTGCTACTACTACTACTACTACTACTGCAATAATGCAACTGCTATAACCAATACGACTACTATGGCTACTACTACTGCTACTACTAATACTACTACTAATACTAGTACTGCTACTGCTACTGCTACTACTACTACTACTGTACTACTACTACTACTACTACTACTACTGCAATAATGTAACTGCTACTACCACTGCTACTGCTGCTACTAGAACTACTACTACTACTACTACTAAAACTACTACTACTGCTTCTGCTGCTGCTGCTACTACTGCTGCTTGGACTACTGCAATAATGCAACTGTTACTGCCTCTGCTACTACTACTACTACCACCACTACTACTACTATTGCTACTATTACTGCTGTTGCTACTACTGCTACTACTACTGCAATAATGCAACTGCTACTACCAATACTACTACTACTATTATTATTACTATTTTTACTACTACTACTGTTACTACTTCCACTACTTCTACTACTACTACTACTACTCCTATGCTACTACTACTGCTACTACTTCTACTACTACTATTTTAAATTGCTTCTACTACTTTTTCTAATGCAAGTGCAGCTACTACTGTTACTACCACAACTTGTAGTACAAGCAG